TCTTCATATTGTAGTTTTTCCATATATGTATGGTCATTACTACAGATCATGATATCAGTTACGTAAACTAAATATTTCTTAATTGCGTTTAATTGTTTTTCTACGCCCAAATATGGTTATATAGGTATCTAATATATTGGAAATATTCATTTTGTATATTTATTTATTATTAACGGGCTCGGAACCCTATAGAACAATACAATTTATAGAATAAATAACTTTGAACAATATAGGATAATCATTAAAGTAAATGAATCACCGACAAAATATCACCAGTATGAAATATAGAAGTAATTTAGTTAGAAATAAATGATTTTATATAATTCAAATAGCAAAGCCTATAATATTGTTATATGAGAATACATTATAGTAGAATTTATTAAAAATTATAAAAATATATATATTAATTATTAATGGAAGTATATATTAAATTAAATACCTTAAAGATGATCTTCAAACTCTTGATTATTATGATCTGCTACCAACTATTTTCTTTACTCGTTCAGCCCAATTGACTGTCTTATTCTTTTTTAATTGGTGTATTTGGATTTAACAAATGCGATAATAATGTACGTGATATTTTACCGGCGATATTTTGTCGGGGTAAACAAACATTCATATGGATCAAATTAACAAATGGTAATGAAAGATTAAAGTATGAAACATAAAATATATTATAAACTGTATGGAACTTCGATTTTTAGTATTTAATAATTACGTAATAACACTTAGAATTATACAATCAAATAAGTCATTTGGTGAGTTTACAATGCGAGTTTTTAGAACGGTGTTTCATCTTTGTGTATAGTAGATATAGTAATATATTTGTTGACATCCCGTCGCGAAGCTCATATAATTCTATTGGCCGCGCGACACTGGCGTACGTGCGCTACTGTGAGCGAAGCTCCTAAATTGGCTAAATTAGTCTTTTATCGGTACGAAGATAATAAACTTAGGTGTAAGTCGTGTAAAGCAAAAAATAACAATTTATATGGATGTCGATTTTTTTACCGTGGTATATCTTAATGCATGGAAGCATCAAATTGCCTAGACGTCCCTATGTCATATAGTGGTACGAAGTTTAGTTTTGACATGACGTACACCTATAATACCCACACTAATAATAATAATAATCAAGACCATTTAGATTGATCGAAAGCGTTAACAAAATATAAATTATATTATTAATTAAGCGTTCCACGTTGGATTTAATATTATTTGACCAAATACAATGTTCAGAGTTTCAGGTACTTTCGACAATAATTTCACCTGTATTATAATTGATTATGGTTTTACCGTGAAATAAATCATAATATTTATGTCGAACAATTTCAAACATATAACGTGAAATTATTTATTATTACATATTACATATTATTATGTCCATTAAATTATTAAATCATAAAGGATGTAAGCAGTGAAATTTTTTTTTCTAAAGTGATTAGAATCGTCTATACATAATTATAAATCATATAAAAACAAATTTCATCCTTTAACATGTTATGAATTCAAGAAGATAAAGAATTTATAAGGCTATAAAGCGAATGACAGTGTAGATAAAAATAAAACGACTACAACGCGTCGGACTAGGTGCTGGTCGTCGCTACTCACTTCTCGCGTAAGCAATATCAAATGTGCTAGCCAAATAAGTTGTCCCCCTCTATGACGCTAAGCTATTCGAAAACAAAAGTTGCACCCAAGTAATTTCAAAATGTGTTGCACTGTAGTGGCACTTAGTTCGATCGTATTATGATATGCCGATAACATAATAAATTAAAAATTGACTGTCAATTGATGGTTTTCCATGAATAGTCAATTAGTAATCAGTGAATAGCGTACGACACCAATAAAACGATAACAAAAACTACCTATTACTTTAAATATTTTATAAATAAAAATAAAATTTTAAAAACTATTTATTATGCAACTATTAGACTTAATTTATCAAGTATATTCTTCCTTTGAATTTAAAGTGTAAGCAGTGCTTAAAATGCTTACATGCACGCTACGACCCTTATTTAATACATTAATGTGTACAGTTCACATCAACACAAAACGCGGTTCTCTTGGGCCAAGACTCCTGTTGACTCGTACAGTAGTTCCGTCTGTGTGTATAACGTTACAGATGAGATATTGTGTAATATGGTGTATAATTTGACACTGTCAATACAAATGATAATAATAACAATAATAATGCGTGACTACCACTATATCAGAATAATATAAATATGACCGTGCGAGAGGTAATAGCTCAGTAACGACTCGTAATGATAATGACATGCGAGATGATTGGATTGTCAGCATCAACAACGGCGGCGTTCACAAACGGAACAGTAGGTTTTATATACCTACCGATTTATTATCGGTTTTCAACTGATTGCGTGCAACTGTGCTTGCAGGACGAATTTCAGTTTTAATTGCGTGACTGCACGGTATAATAAACGATGTATTTATTTATTTATAATTATTAAAATTAATATTTTTTGCCTGAAGCTCTACATTATATTAAGTCTTGTCGTTTTGATATAACTCATTCACTAAATGATAAGTAAAGTTAGTCTACCACGTCACATATATCTGGGAGAACGTCATCAGATGCACTTGAGCGTATACCTACATTTTTGGACATTCGAAAATACAATAACGAAAGCGAGTCCAATTATTATTATATTATCATATGACGAATTCTTTTCTTAATTTTTAAATATAGTATATCTTTGTCTGAATTACTTGACACGTTGTAAAAGATTAATTTTCAACGCGAATTCGTACAAAACGAACGGCCTGACATACGGAGGTAGACGGACGCGGACGACCTTTTTCATAAGTTCCGCGCCCACTAAACGTGGATTGATAGACCGATGGTAATGGCAGTGAGTGATTTAAAAATATTTTAGACGCTCGCGTCGCTGATAAAAGCTCGTTCATGAACGACGTTGTTAATAGTATGTAAATATTTATATCATTATACATTATTTTGTTTTGGAATAGAATAACGTTGTATGTTATTACTACGAGTGAATTGGGATAAAGGAGAATCGATATAATTTGAGATCATATTATGTTAATTAAATACTTAAATGTGTTGTAAGTCGCGCATTTGTGCGTTATTGAATGAACGTTTCCGATCTATACATATATATGTGTGTGTAATTACCTACTAATTATGCAATAATAATGATTCGCTCAAGTACCTGATGAATAATGAATGATATGTATTTAAGTATTATTATCATTACATTAATGTGTATTAGTTTGAATGTCTACTATTCGATTTCTCTTCTGATTACATATCAAATAAAACTTAGGTTTTGGGTTAGTGAATAGATTTGTTCTAACAATGCGATTGGTTTTACACAATAGTTGTATTCCGGGTTACGTATAAATTGATTATGATATTGAGAACGGAGTACCATATTCTAGTGTATAATGTGAATATAATATGAATTGATCTAGATAAAATAAATACGAGTATATATTATGTAAAATGGTTTGGTGATTATTGGGTACCCAAATTTCATTTATTGTGGTTATAATATAATATGAATATGAAATTGATCTAATAAATGTGAATTCATAAAATTAATTTATAAATAGCCAATTAATAGTACTAGGTGTATTTGTCTATATTGTAAATTATTCTTTACCTACGTCAATAAATCATATTTTAAAACACCCCTTATGCTTTTTATAATACATATATTATATAGATTGAATTATTTTCTTTAAAAAAACAAAAAATTTTACATCATAGAAAATGTTTTTCAAAATTTAATAAAAATGTTTTTGCACTTTTCACACTTAAAATTTTGTTTGTGGTTTTTTAATGAATATTTCATTTTTGAAATGTAATAAATTTACTATTGCAATATTTACACTTACGTTTTTTGTTTAAACTTGGGGTCTTCCCACATTTAGATTTTTGAGATTTCAGAGTCAATTTGTTACACGTCGGTATTAAAGATAAATATTAAAGAGTGGGTTATTTTAAAAATTGCTGAATATTTAAACTACTTTTTAGCAAAAACTTTGAAACACTTAAAATAATTAAAACAATAACATTTATTACTAATTAATATAATAAAATCAGCTAAAATAGTAACTTTAAATCAAATTAAAAATTATTAAATTGTTAAAATAAGTAAATATTTTTACTAGTAGATATGAAAAAATTAACAGAAATTCATCTCTAATTTACTTGAAACTATAAAAATGCGGTTTATAATAATAATATACAGTAGAACCTCGATTATCCAAATCTCTGTTTACGAACCCTCTATTATCTGAACTACAATTAGCGTATCTGAACGTTCTATTATCCGAATGTTAAAACTCGTCGAAGCACTCGTATTGATAATTTTGTCAAAAAATAAAATAAAAATAATATGTTCCCATGTACAGTGGCGTCCCTAGACCCTTTTATAGGGGGGGGGGCGAACTTCATACATCACATATATAATTATATATATATATGAAAATACACCAATTACTAGGTGTTTTACCTGATTTAACTCGGGGTATGTAATGTCATTAGGGCATCTGACATAGGCATAGTTATAGATACAAAACATTTTTGGTTAAATACGCGATATCACTATATCAGCGTACTTCTATAATTTTTTCTTAGTATTATATTTTAATATAAATTATGAACATTTTAAGAAATAAAATAGAGGTCATGGAGGGGGCGACTGCCCCATTCGCCCCCCCCCCCCCCTTGAGGACGCCCCTGCCCATGTATGTAATGTACTTTTAATAATGTAATTTATGTAATATAATATTAATAATAATAACAATAAATGTGTAATATAAAATATTTAACTGTGTTTTAAAAATGTATAAATTGGGTTTTTTTAAATTTCCATCATCCGAACTTTTGCGTATCCGAACTAGGTGTGGTCTTAATTAGTTCAGATAATCGAGTTTCTACTGTATAATCATTGTACTAAGCAATAATAGTTTAGGTATGCATCTCAAAAAAATTAATATATGTACAACCGTTATAGGAAGAACAACGATTCATGTAAACGAAAGTTGGGAGAACATCCGAGACTCTCGCCAGTGAGACGCGCCAATTTGTGAGCCAATTGACAAGGTGCAGGGGTTTGTGTGGTACCCTAAGAGTAGTGTTAAAAAGTTAATGTTAAAATTTAAAAATAATATTTTACAGAAATGTACACTTACCGACCAATTGAAGTAATTATGAGTCAACTTGAATGTAAATCTTTGTATTACATCAGGTGGAAGTTTAAGTGTGTCTTCTATCACTTCATAATGTGTTGGAGATACAGTACCTTGTTTTACTTGTTGTGAAACTAAAAAGAATTCATACCTGCAATTCATAATATTCAAATATCAAACTAATTGCGAGCTTACGGTGACACTACTTTTACCTAAACATCGTACAACAAATATAAATAATGTAATTAAACTTAACATGTAAATATAAAAAAATAAATAAAATTCAAAGAAATTATATTACTTAAATACACTTTGAAAAAGTTCTTATACTTTTCAGTAATATTATTCATGTATAGGTAGGCCAAATAGACACCAGTCATACCTTTAGAATAATGGGCTCCACTTAGATACTATCAATATAACCACGATTATTCAAATGTACTCTAGTATGTATATAGTATATGGTTAAAACTCGTCATAAATAACTCAATAAAATATAATAAAAATACATTTTTCTTTCATGATATTCACTCGTGATTATTGTTTTGTCATTTATTCATTGTGTAAAAATAAAAATTAATAAAAACGAAATAAATAATTAAAAAGTCGGTATTTCGTATAGGACATAGATAATATATTATTATTTATTATACTAGGGGATTATTTTATCGGACAACAATTATTATTTCAAAATGTATTAACGTATTTAAAAATATTTTTTCACATTAAATCTCGTTAGAATAATACATTAAAAAAAATTTTATTTAAATATTTTTATTGTTATACATTTTTATAGGTTTCTTACATTTTTAAATGACAAAATAAATTTTTAAATTCATATTTTATAACAGAATATTTTTCGGAGTAATTTAATACTTAAAAAATTAAAATTCGAACTAGTGGTTAAATGTATAAGTATTTAAAATGTATATGTGAAAAATAGTAAACCGTCATATTTTATCTTGTGTATCACCGTATCATTTCGTTAAATAAAACTTTAAATAATAATTATAACTCATGAATTCTCATCCGAGGTAGATGATTTTTATGTATGGATGTACCTGAAAAATATTTGATAGAGTATGTTTTCATACACAAAATTAAAATACTTAAAAAATATTTCAAAAAAAAATTAATATTTTTTTAAAAACACTTTGTTTTATTTCCACTAAGAATTATAAAAAATAAATATATTTTTTAAAATAAAATAAATTATGAAACAATAAAATGTTGTTTAATAAAATAATCATTTTGAATGTCTATGCAATACCTATTATGCATACTGTAATATATTGATATAACAAATACTTAAAAATAAAATATATAAGGCATGATAAATAATTACATTTTCAAATAAAACATAATATTATATTATTATCAGTTATCCAGTATTATTAGTTATCATTAATTCTTACAGAGCTGTAGAATGATCACTTCACATTTATTTCTAATGCGTGCCGAATAAATCTATAATTATATTAGATAAGAATCCTACATATTTACTATTAATATTGTTATAATTTATTTATCTCGACAAATACATACTTGATAGTTAAGTATTTAATATTCATTTATTTTACGATTTAATACTTTTTAAATTTACTTAAATTTTTATGACGATAAAATTTAAAACTCTACATTTTGATTTGGGGTCCCCGTAGTAGTGTAGGGCCTTTGTTCAAGACGGGTTTTATGTATAGCTTACTTGGTTGGGTTTGTCACAACACTATCTATAATTGTCCCGGGTAAAGGATTTTCAGGACCTCTTCTACCGGGTACAAAAAACTTCGATTCATTATTTTTTGTAACCACAATAAACGCAAATGGGACAGAATTTGGTCCATAAAATCTTTCAAAAGTAGCCTAAAAAAAAAAAAAATAATAATTGCAATATAAATTATACTTTTTTTTAATACTCGTACCTGAAAAAGTTTAACTTCTGCCGTACGGACATGAAATGATTGGCCTTCTTCAACACCATCTCTATATATCATAATAGAAGTAGGTAATGATCCATATTTAGTATTATATCTCCACAAAGCCTCTAAAAATATTAAAATAATTTTTAATGCATATGTGCCATGTAATTAATATACGCTATTTCATTATGATAGTTTTAATTTAATTATATTTTTAATTTTAAATAGGTCAACCTAGGTTATAAGTTATAACTTATAACTACCTATAAGTTTGTAATTAGTATTGCCTAGTAAATTAAAATGTAAATCTTGTACCCACATAGCAAAACAATGTTATAAAAGTGTTTTAAAAATATTATTCTATAATATTGTGATTTAAATGTTATTAAATATTTTAATAATGCATTACCTATTTTGCTGTATTATATAGTAATATTAATTATCATGATACCAATACTATAATATATATTACTATTACATCATGTGAAAAATAAAATAAATTAACATAGTTTTACTTCTCGTGGTACGATTGTGTAACCGATGGGTGGTTCAGTGGTTAGGTTGGGTTTTACGATATCAAGTGACAAGTAAATAATAAGCACTATTTTAAAAAAATGGAAAATTCTATATATATAAATTTATAAGTAATAATAATATACTTATATACTTATATAACATTATGTTAGTACTGATTCGTGGACTATTATTTCTTGGTTAACGGTTAATAATGTTAATTTAAGCTGCTATAATTTAATATTTATACTAGCCATAAAGTAACAATACTAGAAAGCTATGTATGTTATATCAAAGAATATTTTCTTAATTCATAGTTATACATAATATTATTTTAATTTTATTAAATGAGCGTAACAATTCGTAACGATTCGCCGTGACTTAAAATTTTGTTAGCAGTTAGCATGCCTTTAAAAGTTTTTACTTTTTAGTGATTTCACTATCCGTTTACATTTTTGACGTGTCTTGTTGTCTGATAAAAAGGTGAGTACTTTAATCTGTATAATATACGTTTTTATTGATTTTAAAAGTTATAACTAGGACTGTGAATTTAATGCACTAAAAAACCTTAAAAAAAATGCAATAAAATATACACTTAGAATGCAAAATATGCAATATAAAATGCCAAAAATTATAGTATAAAATACATTTAAAATAGTTTTTGATTTAATTTTATATTTATATTGATATCATAAGATATTATAAATTTAATACATAATATTTTACATGCATAAAAATGTGTTTATTAAAAAAAAAATGTATTAAAAACGTTGATTCGATTAGAATTTTTTATAATGCTATTCATCAAAAACATTTAAAAAAAATAAATGTTTATGTATCTTTTTTTTTGTTAATAATTAAGTTTTTAAAGATAGTTAATGGATTTAGTTGATGGAGTTTAATTAAAAATACCGGAAAATGAACTAAAAAGAAAAATATGACTTAAAAATGTGAAAAAATGACCTAAAAATTTAAAACGTCAAAAAATGTAAAATAAAAGTTTCATAAATTAATTCTTTGTTACATAGTTCAAATTTTGTACTTACAAAGCTATGTTTCACAACCACAAAATAAAATGTTTCATAGCCCTAGTTACAATGTTATATTATTTAATCAATTATTTCATAAGTAGGTATAATATAAATTCATAAATATAAAAACTTTAATTGATCTTTATTTGACAATACAAATTATCAAGCCATGTATATATATATATATTTAATATACAAATTGTCTTGGGTACTTTTAATATGAAATTATTTATTATTTTAATTATACCTAGCTTATTGTAGTTTGTCACATATTACTATTTATGATTTCATGAATTTAATAATTTTGGTATATTAATTATTAAGTGTACTTATAATTATGTATTGCATTTCTTTATTTTTTTTATAAAAATGATATTCATAAATTTATGTATGATGCTAAAAAAAATACCCATTTTACTATTTTTCATAATTATTATACGTTTGGTTTTTTTTATTCATGTATAATAAATAGATAATTAAATTTTACAAACTATTACCTTCATAGATAGAAAAAAAAAGTGACCAAGAAAATGTATACCTATATGAGCATATGACTATTATAATTACATAATATAATATTTATTATATTATAATATATTATGTAATTAAATTTTATTGATCATAATATTTAAAAGAAAATTAAACTTACTTAAAAAAAAATAATTTGAAAAATTACCTTATATAGTATTATAAATTTTAATATAGTACATATACCTAAAGCATATGATTATATTTTAATTCATTAGTTTTTTTCAATTATTATCATTTATTTATTCTTCTATGGTATGAAGATTTATTTATTAATATATTACTAAATAATTGTTTAGAAAATGTCAAGTACAAGATTTCAAAGAAAAAAAAATTAAAGAAAAATTGGACACCATAGTTTATATCAATGGTTATAGTTCTGACAATCAACATAAGTAAAAGAAAAAAACACACATTCAATCTCTAGTTCTACCAGAATTATTGGAGTATTCTTCGAGTATTCCATTATAATCAATTCAACCTCATAAAATCATGCTATCATCAAAATTTCTTATTGATCCAAATACTCATCATTCACCTATAATACCAGTGAATCATAATACTGAACTATTTGGTTTACAAGAACTACTTCGTGTTTTATTTAAAGAAGAATTAGCGCTGTGGACAACCTCTTTCAAAATACCAAAAACTATTTCTGATGCATAACTAAAAATTCTTAAAAATCATGATTGTTTTCAAGATTTGCCAAGTGACAGCTGTACTCTACTGGTAATTAACTTATCATGTCTTAATTTACGTGAAGTAAATCCAGGAATCTACTATCATTTTGGTTTGGCTTAAGGAATAAAATATTTTGAACGACGTGAAACAAATGAAATAAATATTGTGATTGGAATTGATGGTCTACCTCTTACAAAAAGTAGTAACAGTTAGTTTTGGACTATTTTAGCCTATATTAGGCTAAGCAGCAAAAGTGTGTTTATTGTTGGTTTATATCATAGTATGGAAAAGTCAGGAGATAGTGATGATTATTTAAAAGATTTGATAAACGAAAGTCAGGATCTTATTGTTAATGGTGTACATATTTTTTTGAAAAAAATCCAGTATTTATTGACAGCATCATATGTGATGCACCTGCCTAATTATTTATTTTGAAAGTAAAAGGACATGGTGAATTTGAATCCTGTACCTACTAAATGTATAACAGAAGGAGAGTATCTTAATAACAGGGTTTTTTTTTCCACATAATACCAATCGTTCCTTGAAGAGAACCCATACAAGTTATAAAAATATGACTTATGATAGATATCATACATTTTATGACATTTCAAAACTTTGTGATGACTTGATATGGTGCTATCGTTTCCACTTGATTATTTACATTTAGTATGTCTTGTAAAAAATTAATACAACTATAATTACATAAAGGACCAATTAATGTACGTTTACCTAGTGAAAACATATTAAAACTTTCAAAACAATTAATAGATTAAAAAAAACAAATACTTTGTGATTTTTCATGGAAAGCTCGTGTGATTTAAGATGTTGGTCGCTGGAAAGGTGCAGAACTTAGACAGTTTTTAATTTATACTGGTTTAGTTGTCTTAAAAAACATTGTATCAGAAGATTGTTATAATAATTTTTTGGCACTTAATATTTCAATGATGATATTACTTTCTCCTGATTATGGAGTATCATATGTAAATTATGCACATACTCTTTTAGATTATTTTGTAAAAATGTTCATTTTATTTCTCATAATATTCGTGGGATTTTACATTTAGCTGATGACTATGAACAATATGGAGTATTGAATAACTGCAGTAGGTAGTTTTACATTTGAAAATTTTATGAAGAATCTGAAAAGCGTGGTAAGAAAACATGACACTTGGATCATATAAAAATAGATTTAAGTATTGCTTTGTCAACTAATTATTCACTAAAGTGCAGTCATATTCAAGGTCCTCTTACATCAAACTGTACTGGACAACAATACAAGCGACTATTATTTAATAATATATTTATCAAAGTTGACATCAGAGCAAATAGTTTATAATAATTCAAAACTTATTGTAAAGTGTGTACAATTATACAAAACAGTCTTGGAGAAATTATATCAATTGGCTATTCCTTTAATAAACAAGAACCATGTTATAATACTCAATTAGTTCTTCAGTTTTTGACATATACATAGTAGAGGACATAAGTAAAACATTAAATTGTTGAAAACTAACAAATATTTGTAAAAAAGTTATAATTATCATTTTTAATATAGTTGAAGTGGTTATACCCATTTTTCATATATTACCTTTATAATGATATTATTTACTACAATATATGTTACTAACAATCATTAATTATGTATCTATAATTTTGTATGAAGTTTATTGAATTTTTGCCACTTTTCATATTTTTTTCAAATGTATCCTTATACCTAATATTATTAATTTAATATATTTTTAATAAATGATATGGTTATTGTGAATGTTTAAAAAAATTCTAATTTATAATAATAATAATAATATCTTTTTATATTTTTATAAAAACAAAATGTGTTTATATATATTTCATGCGCAAGCAAAATGTATGCATTTAAAAATTTAATACAAAAACCATATGTTATTCTGAATAAGAATAATTATTTATTAATTAATTGGTAACTATTTTACTCATTACAGTGATTTCTATAAAGCAAAGATTCTTTATTCTAATATTGGTATGTATTATATTGTATCACTCTTTATCATAAAATTGTATTATTATAAATTACTTTATAATTATATATATGTGTATAAACTTAAATATATATATTTAAAAAATACATGATGATTAAAAATTGCAAATTTATCAAATTATTATTTTTTGAAATATCTTAAGATGCCATAAAAGCTGACAATAAATTTCAAGATGTACAAGATGTTAACATTGAAAAATCTATTAAGTCCTAGTTAGGTCAAGCTCTTTTTCGAGAAAAAAGTCGCGTGGTACAAAATAACATTGAAAATATTCAAAATCAATAATTTGTCAAAAGTTTTAAACTTTTTATAGGTATTTTTTTTATTCAAAACAGTTACTTGTTATAATAAAAGTTAATTAATTAATTTTTTGAGCTATCTAGGCATTTTGAAGTCTTTAAAATAGTTTTAAGTAAGTTGCCATTGATGTTTAATTTTATGCTGTTTAAATAAGTAATAAAAAATATTTTTTAAACATTAGCTTTGTTTTTTAATTAAATGAAACTATATTATCTATTGAAATAATAAATAAATTCTTTATAGCAGTATTTAGTATCTAGTTTATAAATTTCAAGAAATTTAAATGACTTGTTGTTTTTTCATAATCAAAGAAAATATATTAATTATTAATATTAAAAATTATACAGTATTTCTAGTTTAAGTGTTCACAGAAATATAGAAAAAATAATTAATATTGAATTATTGTTATGTACTGTACTAAATAAGGAATTTTATTCCGTGAATTAATTAATAAATAAATAAATAAATAAATAAACCTAATGCCTAATGGGATCCTTATTATACTCGAAATACAAATGTTTAAAAAATATTTAAGGTAAATATTAAATTGGTGGCCAAAATATAATACAAAAAAAAATATTTATGTTAAATATTATAATTTTAATATTTTAAAATATTTAAAAAAATATACTTCTATAACTAATAAATAATAATGATATATAAATATTATGATTAAATAAATAATGAAAAATCATATCACATTACTTTCACTCTCAAAAAAGCACAGTACCCCCAGTCTACTCAAACAATAAAATCATTCCTTCTTTCTCTAGCGTCAAATATTTGGATACGACACTTGATAAAAGACTTATCTGGGCCACACATATTAAACAAAAAAGACTCATACTAAATACCAGACGAAGAGCACTCTTTCCACTTACAGGAAAACAATCAAAAATTAATCTCAATACAAAACTGTTTCTGTTTAAAACCCTCCTCAAACCAATTTGGTTATATGGTATTCAACTATGGGGATCAACAAAAAAATCCAATATTTATAAAATTCAAACGATCTTACTACGTATAGGTTAGGTCCTCCGTATGTTTCAAACCACACTTTACATTCAGACTTAAAAATACTCACTGTTCAAGAAGCCAAAAATTCCTATAAATTCTTCCGTGCCCGTCTTACAAACCACTCTAACCCTTTAATCATTGCTCTAAACTCTGAATCTATTCTTGGAAACCCACCTAGAAGGTTAAAGCGAAATTGGAATCGTGACCTTAAATAACTCTAACTCTCTAGCCAAAAGTGTTACCGCTGGGTGATTACTTCATCATGTCAACCATACTAATAATGTAAATCATCAAACATTCTTATTGTAAAATTTATTTATAGATTGTATGTATTAAAAATAAAAAAAAATATTTTGAAAATTTTGTAAACTATTATTAAAGTGAATTGATAATGATTTTATTAAATGATTAAATATTATTACAAAATTATTAAAATATTGTTTTGCTGTGTGGTTAGTTTAATTTACATTATTATTTGATTATGCAATACGAATCTATTCTACCGAATAGAAAGTCTCGCTGTGTATCAAAATTTAACTTATTTACCGAGCTAAAAATGCATAAGTCAATCACACTTGAAAAATACATTATTACTTACTAGTTATTCCGATTGAAAAATGAATAGAGAGTTGCCTTAAATTTTCATAAGGTTTAACATAATTAAAGTAACTTGTATGATTGTCATCCATGGTCGATATTAATGCACCAAATGATTTGTTTTTCTGTTGAGTATCTTCATATATATTACACCCAACTATCATCATCCCCTAAACAATGTTTAAGTACAATCAATTATAATTTAATTTATACGCTATAAACAACTAAGAAATTACCGATTTGGGAATGGGCACTTGCCACGGAATACCTCCAAGTTTACAATTAATTTTAATTGCAATTTTTGTACATATGAACATGTCGTTGTTTTGCACATTCCTTAAAGTGACTACTTGGGATGGTACTGAAAATAAATAATGATGACAAATGCATTTATTTGTATGTGCACAGAATTTTATTAATTCAATAAGATATTATTGGTCAGAAATGTACCAGCTCTGTCAACACATAATTTGCGTTTAATTGTTCCATAAATATCACTGCATGGCGATTTAATAACACATAAAATCAATGCCGGATTCAATTTATCAATTACATCATCGAGATGTTGTATAAATGTATTTGGTCTTTCATCGTTCATGGGGATTCTGAAATATATACTCGTGAGTTTAAAGAAAATAATGAAGTAAAAAAATATTTACATTTCAGGGTTAGGTAATATGAATTCCAACTTTTGTGCCGCCCGTACAATCGTTTTTGAAAATTCTTCAACATCGTGATAAAAGTTCCGAGATGCTAAAATTACCCAATTTTTTACATTCGCAGAGATGAGCATTGGTACAGACGTTGAATGTTTTGACCAATCAGCTTCTTTACCGCCATCATATGTTATCCAACGAGATAGAATTTTTTCCGGTAATAAAACACGACCAGGAACCTTTATGAGATTATTATTTAATGTCAGATTCCATTTTTTCAGTTCTGCTTCAGACTAAATAACAGTAAAATAATTATATTTAAGTTCTAAAAAAAAATATATATATTTAAAATTAAAATAAAAAATGTATAAAACACAAAAATAATGTTAATGATAGGTATTAACAATTTTTATTATCTCTATTAGGCAATATCTTGCTTATAATTTAATAATATATAATTATTTACGTTGGAATTAAAAAATAAATGATCTGAAAAATTTGTAAGTCTTTCTATCCATTCTTTTGGATACACACGAGTATGGAGGATCATATCATTCATTAGTGTGAAATTATTTCTATAATAATTTAAAAAAATATGATTATTACAATATGCACTAATTGAAAATATATAATTTTATTTAATGTTTTTGTTTATTTACCTTAAGGAATTGGTAATACCAACTATAACGCATAATTCTGGTACAAGATACACCAAGTTATCATCAAATCCAAATTGTGGTAGGGATATTTTATTTTTTGCAATCAATAATGGTTGATAATCATCAAGAATAGTTATGTTCCACTTCTAATACAGAAATAAACACATTAATTTAAATTTTTAATAATTAATAAATTAAATAATGTACTTCTTTGTAATATTGCTTGTAAGTTATTTTAGATCGATCGTTTTTAGTAAATTCAGAATTTGGCCTAGCATTTTCATCGATGTCAACAATTATGTACGTTTTATAATTGTATTTGGTCATGACTGTAGTACCAATAACGCTAGTTTTAAAGTTAATCTAAATAATAAATATATCAACTTTAAAATTATTCATCAACGACTAATATACTTCTATCATACAAAATTAAAATGAACTTGCCTCCCAATTTTTGTTTCTGCTTCTATCGACAGAACACTGATAAAAAAGGTCCAATACTGTATCTTGAGGAATTAATTTTGTAGTTAAATTAGCACATAATAAAACGCCACTTTCATAACGATCAATCGTTGCTTCATAACCCCGCCAAAGTTGAAGTTTATGTTGAGCCATTTCAATCTAAAAGCAAATTATAATGTGTCAGAAAAATAACAAATATTATGCTAATAGAAATAGAAATATACTTTGGCATCTAAATCATAAAAATTTCTTCCGATCGGTATAAATTGTATATGTGTTAAACATTTACGCAAGAGCATATTTAAAAATTGAATACTGGCATAATCATAGATTTTTAATACATTTGAGAATTCCACTGTAAATATTATAACTTGACCATCCGATCGACGTGTAGACACGAATTCAGTAGTCTAAATCACAATATTAAAATACGTATTAGAATATTTATAATATTCGTTTTTTTACAATAAATCATCAGCTTACATTTGAATCTAATTTGTTACTAGTAAATAACATTGTTCCATCAAACAAATATACTCCAAGGTATTCTCGATGTTGATCTAATAACTCTGTTTTAGTACTAATCATAATATGCTCATCAATCTCGAAGTCAACATTATATTCGTATAAATACCAATTTTTTGGTGAATTTATAGGAAAATAATTGGCCAATAATTCGACTCTATCCCCAGAAGTTCCTTAAAAATAGTTATAAATATATAAAAATTATGTTAAAACTTTTCCATCGGATAATAGTAAACACTTAGTTTCACTGTGAAAACATTTATTTTCACTTTATTATCTCATCAAGGTTTGATTATAATAATAATAATAATAATAATAATAGTAATATTTAAAAGAAAGTATTTTCTTTACATATATTATACGTCATGATTACATTATATAATATTCAAAAATTAATTTACGAATATAAAATATTATTTTAAATTTAAATATTAAAAATGTTAATTATAAGAATATGTAAGCAATATACATTTTACTCGTTTTATATTACTCATATACGGCATATAGGTACCCGAAATAATCAGATAAATTGAAAAAAAATATCATTTTTCCATGTATATATGTTGTATGCTCGAATTACTGTTTTCGTGTGTAACGGATTATTACATCAAACATTAAGTTTTATTTATTTTAAAATGACAATGATTTTATTATTAATTAATTTAGAGCACATTACAGTAATTAATTTTGATAAAGAATTTCATATAATTAAAGTTTTTAACTTTTTATTAATCTTTAATTAATTTTATCAATTAAAATATTATTTCTTAATTTATTTATTTTTTTTTTTTGTACAAAAATCTTACATACCAATGTTAATAATAATAAATAAAAGATATAAAATAATTTTTGTTTACAATATTAATTTATTTTAAGAAGATTTATTTGATACGCTACTATTAAAATGCTTTATTATTATTATTTTTTTTTTTTTAATTTGGCTTTATTAGAAGAATTACGATCTATACAAAGTACAATAAGTAAAAGTAATAAAAATTTACAGATAATTAACAGGAATAAACACATAAGGAGTAAGTCACACATTTGTGACACCTCTTACATTTATAATATAAAATGCTTTATTTAAAAAAAAAATTTTTTAAGGTAAGACCGTGTAATGCATTATCTACATTCTCTAAATATCCAAAAGCAAAAAAAAAAATTTAAAAAAATTATATCTTACCCTGTCTTTCTGATATTGGTGGACGCTGCATATTTAGAAAATACGGTAATAGATGTTGTTCACGAAATTTTATCCTTAATGATATTACGGAATTCTTTGCTCGGTTTCACTAAAATAGTAGTTTTAGTTTCTTATAGCTCTAATAATAATTCAATGTAAATAATAAAAAAATATAAAACCAATATTTATGCGCAGCAAATAAGATATTATAATACCATCATGCACTGTTGCTCGATCGACATTAGCCAACGATTAAGTAACGCATTAATAATATATTAACGTTCAAGTAGTCGTGTTAGAAATATTAATGATTGATTTTAATTTTTTTTTTAATATATATAATCAGGGCTGTGAATTTATAGGAAAGTGCATTTTTTTTGGTGATTGTAAAACATAGATTTGTAAGTACATAATTTGAATTATGTAATTACGAATCCATCTATGAAACTTTTATTTTACATATTTTTGCATTTTTTAACTTTTTAATTTTTTAGGTCATTTTTTCGAATTTTTAGGTCGTATTTCGCATTTTTAGGTCATATTTTGCTTTTTTTAGTTCATTTTCTAATATTTTTAACTAAATTCTGTCAATTAACTTGTTTGAAAACTTTTTTTATTTTACATAGACTGTATATATTATGTCAATTTTCTTAACTTTTTTATTAAATAAACACTGTTTTGTATTAATATTTTTATATCCTGTACCTAATATTAATATAAATATAAAAATTAAATTATAAACCATTTTAAATTAATTTTATACTATAATTTTTGGCATTTTATATTCCTTTTTTTGCATTTTAAGTGCATATTTTATTGCAATTTTTTGGCATTTTTAATGCATTTTTTAAGGTTTTTTAGTGCATTAAATTCACAGCCCTACATATAATATAGAAAAATTGTAAGTTATGTTTAAAGATAAAAAATAGTTGGATATAGATTCTGATAAATTTATTAACTTTACAATGATGTGTAGTGTTGTTCTATGTCTGTCATCACATTTTGGGACAGTAAAAATTATTTGATTTATTTCTTTAGAAGTAGTTTCTAAGAGCAAATTGTATTTAATTAGTTATGTAGAAGGTCAAAAGTAAAAATTTTCCAAGATTTGTATTAGAAATCAGGAAAAACAACAAAAACAAAATAAGAAAAAGCTTGAACTTTTACACTAAACCAGTTTTTGACAAAATTGATTTTCATATTTTGTTATAATACAAAATGCCATATATCTACGCTTATCCGTTTTTATTATAACAAAATAAAAAATTTTAATTTTTCGTAAACAGGTTTACCGTAAAAATTTTTATTTTTCCTTGATTTAGTTTTTATTTATCTGATTATAAGGGAAATTAAAATGCTAATTAATACTTTTAACCGACCTCTTCCCTCAACGTATTAACTAGATTTAATTTGAATCGGAAACTAATCGATGTTAAAATCGTAACTTTAACTTATTAACTCGTCTAAAGTCTTTTGTAAACAATAACAACCAGGGATAAAAAACGTAATTAAAATATAATGAAGTACCTAATGACGAAGCTTAAATTCTTCGAATTAATCGAATACTTAGTCTACATAAAGCATACAGAGAATCACTTACAAAAAAAAAAAAAATTAAAACCCTTTTTTATTCTATTCAAAACGTCTAATTCCATACTTTTTATTCTCCCTTCTTGTCGTTAGAACGTTAATATAAAAATATATCATAATATTATATTATATTAATAAAACAGTCATACCTGAGTATAAAATACGAGATGCACTGTAACGGTTGAAATCACTACCGCGTAGTTGTGACTCAAAAAAGAGACTGAGTTGGTCTATAGAGCGTACTGGACGCGACAGTGTGACGTGTCGGTAAACCAGTAAGCTCAAATATATTTTATTACGGAATTGTTTGTCAACCAAGTATCGCTGGTTGGGCGTCACTCAATCATCCCTACCATTGTACGGCAAGAAACTCGGCGAACCGTGAAGCCACACAATATTCGTACTCGATTTTGTTTAAATTCAAAATAAATAATAAATACTTCCGAGTAAAATTGAGACTTTTTTGCAGGCATTTATTGCAATTAACTAAATCTGTTAATATATAACAATTTTATATTCATTTAAATGAGTTGATAAAAAATGTATGGATATAGTTAATTAAAAAAATGTAACGTCAATTGTTATTGAAAAATAAGTATGGTATTTAAAATATATTATGTGACATTTAACTTAACTACAAATCATGGAATAATTTCACTCATCAAGTGTTATTAAAAAACAAAACAAAAAAACACTTAATTTCAAAACCTACATTTTTCATTTAAGGTAGGTCTTACAAACCAGTGGCGTATTTTGAATGGTTTTTTTCGGGGGGGGGGGGGGGGGGGGGGGGGTCCAGATACTATAAGTACAAACTTTTTGTTAATTGGTTGCAAAATATCTCTGTTTTAAATCTACTACCGCTAAGCTCATAATTAAAGCGCGGATTTTTATGCACTTAAAAGTATCGAAATATGGCATATAATATGCAGTAAAAATAATGAAAATATGCAGTCAAAATTATGAAAATATGCAAAAATATACAAGAATTTTTTATTTATTTAAAATTTACAATAAAACTTATAATAATTAATTACTTAAATACTTAATAATAAATCATTTCTAAACTTAATTTATTTTTAAAATTCTATTTATTATTAAAATTAATAATCATATGCATTTCAAGTTTTTCTTCTGTGAAGTTGTATCATTTATCGATTAACATATTTTTAAAGACTGAGAACGAACGTTTGACGTCAACCGAAGTTATTGGGGCATATTTGAAGCAACTTAGTATTGTCGGATCTTGATAAAGATCTTCAAGATGAACGTTTTCACTTAATAACACTGAATTAATTTTTCGTAGAATTTTCAGACCTTCATTTTTATTGGAAAGCTCGTTTAATTTTGTTGTAAGTGTTACACCTTTCAATCCAGGAATAGAATGCATTTTTTTCTTTCGTTTCGTCAATTATTATTGAAAAGCTTAGATATAAAGTCATATTTCGAGTTTCCAGTTTTTTTTATGACTATTTTTATCACTAAAAATGCCAAATGAATAGATATAAATTTTAAATCATTCTACTCGACAAAATATTATCCTATACATTTTTTTAAATTTTCGCTTCAATATGCAATAAATTTTGAATTTTGTCAAAATATGCAAAAATATGCAATAACCTTCAAATATGCAGAAATATGCAAAAAAAAATTTCACCATTAGCTTCAAATTATGATAATTCGTGGAGATAACTGACAAAAATCCAAAAATATTAAAAGGAAAAAAATATGCAATGGCATAGAAATCCGCGCTTTACAGTCATAATATACTCATAAAATATTGTAATGAAATATATTTTTTATTTATTTAATTAAAAGTAGAAATTTTTATGTAATTTAAATCATACAGGTATAAAATACCTACTGTAAACATAATTTTAATTAAAAATAAAAGCAAATAATAATATGTTTTAAAATAAATATATATTATATAGACTTTTAAGATCCAATGTATTTATATATTAAAAAAAAAAACATCATTGTAATTAATATTTAAATATACACAAATTTCCGCTGGAAAAACAAGTAACACAGACACATGAAGGCACGGAGCCGCAAGATAAAAATATAAATTGTATGTTTACTGTAATAGGATAATAATAATATGAAATTATTATAGGTACATTATTATTACACATATTTTGTTACCATAATCGGTCACAATAATTTACTAATTATTACTATATATTTTGTTTGTTATATTCGATACCAGTGGTGCTACAAAAATGATAGTTTTATAAATAATTAAAAATATAATAGGATAATAAGTACATTATTTGAAACTAAATTTATTTTCTTTTTGAATTAGTTAATGACTTGATATAATATTAAATTAGTTCATAATGAATCATATATTATTATTTGCCAAATTCCTTACAAAATTTATCAAAGTTAAATACTTTTTGGATTTTTTTTTTTTGGTTTTGGGGGTGTCCAAACACCGTAGACACCCCCCTCCCCAAAATACGCCACTGGTGCGAACCATCTACCTATTTTAATTATTAAAGGCGTAGATTTCAGATTGATCTCACTTTCAGATGAATTTCAAATGTATTTGCTCCAGCTGCTTATCGAGTGATGGATGTGTCACTGACCCTCTTAATATTTTATCGAATTATTCATTTCAATGTACCTATTATTATTATTATTTTTAATTTATGTAGTATTTGGTAAAAAAAAAAAAAAGTAATTATAATTAGGTACCCAAATATTATTTTCCATTATTGATGTTATTTTATTATATTGTATTTAATTTCTTACGAATAATGACTTATATGTTTAAAACCATATATATTAAATTAAATTAGTATTATTTTAAGATTTTATAACTATATTATAATATACTAAATATAATTTAAGGAGTTCAAGTTTATTTTTCGAATAGAATTTTTAAAATAATGTAATTTTAGGAGGAGTTAGCACACATTTTGATTTGAAATGCAATCCGCATCGCCTGTCTCTTCAACATGCAAATTAATTTTTGACATATTTTCTAGAGAAAAATTGATTGAAGTAATAATTGACATAATAACAAAATTAAAACAAACGAAATTTTATTGTACGTGTACTAGTTATAAATTTATATTATAATTGTGATTTAAATTAGTACATTGAAGTCAAAAAAATCATCTTAATTGATAAATTTATTAATTGTTCTAGTATATCTTACTTAATTTTATTCAAATCATTTAATATTCCTGTAAATTTTTGCACTATTGGCAAAAGATTTCACAATCAAGGCCTGCTAAATCGATTAAAAGCGTACTGGTGTTCATAAATCTTATTATACATACACATTCTAATCTATATCATGCATAATACATTTTATTTTATTTGAAGTTCTACGTGTTTATTATCTGTAAAAACCACATGATCGATAAACTACAATATTTCATGTATATCTTAAATATATTTTAGACGTAGTTCCATGAAACTCAACAATAGTAGGTACCTATCCTTCATCCAGTAGTGATACCTTGGAGACGTCTAATCAATTATGTGCAATATGAATCACATGCCACGGACGCATAGTTCATTTCATTTTGATTTTTTACGTGAAGCCAAAAAAAAAAGGAAAATCTTAGGTTGTTACACGTAAAAAACTTTATTTTAGTTATTCATATATTTTTTCAGCACTTAGATTTTACACAAATACGTACTTCCGAGCTTATACATTTTAAATAATATTAATATTAAAGTATATAATATTTTAACATTTTAATACAGTCCATTATTAAAAAGGTAGCAGACATTAAAAACCTACAAAGTTATATTAAAAAAATAATTATAAAGAATATGATTAAGTGATATATAAAAAATTCGTTGGGAAGGTATGAGAGGTCAAGTCCCCATGAATTCTGCCACTCCCACTTGAATACTTCACAAGTACCTATCGCCCTGATGAGTACAAAGTGAGTCACTACTGCAATGGATGATTAAATTTGAATTCATTAATACAGCATTGCATACAAAACACGACCCTGATTGAAACGACATATCAGCATGCATTAATTTCTGAAAAACATTTATGTTTTAATGTATACATGTAGGAAATAATGAAGCAGCTAAATAATATTTTTCAATTATAACTAAAAACAACATGGATACATCCATAAACACTTAAATTTAAATAATTACCTATTACTAACGTAAGAAAAAAATTCAACTTAATGAACAATATATAGTTATATTCTAACGGTCAAATCCGCACCAACACGAGCATAGAAACGAGCTGACAAGGTTACAACTTAAAACATTTATATTCTTTAATAACGCACTGAGTTAATGACTTGCTCATCAATTTGGACGTAAAACACAATAAAAATTGATAGGCTTACCCGTGTGTCAAAGGTAATAAAACTCGCTATTATACCTCTAAGATACGGAATAACTACAGATATTTTTACTACTAACAGATTGCCACAACATTTACCATATTATTAAATATTAATGACATTTAACAAAAAACTACGTAAGTTTTCGACATCATTCAACTATAAATTACAAGTTAGTAAATAACTAAAAATATAATATTTAAATCTAAATAATTTAAATTCAAATGGGTAAAAATATAAACTTAACTCAATTAAAAAACAATATCATTAATTAGTTTTATAGTAATAAAAGTATACATATACGTTATATAGACATATAGGCAGTTTTAATATAGGTAAAGTATTATTTTTAACACCGGTCAAAAAAAGCTTAACGGTTACAATAGAATAATTAACTAGTTAAGTCATAAAACTAAAGAAAATTTTTTATTTTGCGTGAAATTTTGGATTTGTTAACTTAAACGTTTAATGGTTATTGTAAAATATAATACCTATTATGACTAAAACTGACGAACAGAGTCGGCGATTAACCCAAAATAATGTATAGGCGTTTTAAAAAACAATCGTTTCATGTTTGTGTGTAATATATTTATCTATATTTATACTGTTCTAACGGTTTTTAATACGTTCGTAGATTCTTGAACTTAAGTGGTGTGTATATTCAAAAAAAAAATTAAAAAAATTAAAAAAATATTATCGAAATATTTTTGTTGTTTTATCGGTACCAAAAGCCATACTAGGTATAACAAGTGAAATGTATACCTATAGTATAAAATATTCTTGCGTACCCCGCGCGATTCGTTAATACCTATATTATTGCTTACAGTAATCCGTTTCTCAAAACCATCGACACGATCAAGGGCGCCGGGGCGCGTATATGGATAGGAAAAAAAAACGCGGACGGCCGGCTAAAATCTTACGCCCACGACGACGACGCCGCCGTGATTCGAACCCGGGTGAACGCCGTTTGAATTCGACCGTGTTCGCCCGCCGCGTCTCTTCTTCTCCGATCAACCGCCCAATCGCGAGACAAGAAACAGGTTCTCTGTCCGGCGTCTCGCGAGCGACGCGTCTGAACGCCGCGACGACCAATCGCGGTCTTCGGCACGGACCGGTTTCTATCTTGTCCGCCGCGTACGCGAACGTCCGACTGCCGCCGCCGCCACCGCCGCCGCCGCCGCTCACGGAAAACCGACGTCGTCTCGTTCCGCGTCGCTTTAATAGTGCTCTGCAGCCGATAATTGAACGATTTTTGTCTTTTGTTTTTCCCGTATTTGTTTTATCGCGCCCGTGCCGTGTCTCGCGCACTCGAACGTCTCGATTTCGAATGTCCAAACACTCCAAACACGTGGTTTTCGTATTTCTTTTTACAATCGCACGGTCGCACGTATTTACATGATATTATTATATTGTTATACGTTTTGTGTGACGCGAGCGTCACCATCCGGACCCCTTGCACACCTGTTACAACCGCACGAGTGCACGACCTATACGGATTTCCACAATAGTCGTAAGTCTTAAGTAGGTATTTTACGTATTTTGGTTTTTTTTATTTTTTTTTCTTTCTAATTCCACCGCTCGTGCATTTTGTATAAGTGGTAAATATACCTAATTAACTTACGAGTAGTTAATTGAATGAATATTAAATTATTTAATTAAACTAGAAATGTCTTATTCATGTCGGTTAGAAAATCTTTTTTTGCTTGTTCTGATAGTTTCTTTAATATTTTCATCACAATTGACTTGCTGTTTAATTTAATTGCACGTCAAATTTTTATTTTCGTTTTTTGAAGTAACAACTGTTTGCTTTTTAAATAATTTACACTAGTTTCTACTTCTAAAATAATACTTGGATAAATTGGATAAAAATGGACAAAATTCGAGTTGTTCATTAAATATTTAAAAAAAAAAACTACATGAATAAATAATTTATTAAATATTAAAATATTTAGAACAGTGGTACGACAAAATAGTTACTAAATAATATTCTTAGTTCTTTATTTAGATAATTCATATCATATAATAATTTATGTATAATTTATATAATTCATAACTTTTATGTAATACATTAATATAATATTTAAATTTCACTAAAAAGTAAAATTGTTTGTATACAATTTTTTTATAATTTATTCACAAAAAAATTAATATATAAGTTCACCATTAGAAATTGAATCTTGTATTAATTCATTATCATTATAAGGTAGGTATAGAAGAAATTATCAGTTTTAATTAACTAAAATTCATAAATGACTCCAAAAAAAAAAAAAATCTTCCTGATAAAAATATTCTAAACAAACTTGATCATCGAATTATAATAATTTTATTTCCTAAATATAATATTTTTTTAAAGTACATTTTAGATTGTTTTATAATTTGATATAGATGTAAAATAAATTATAATTTTCACAGAAAACATTTTAAAAATTACAGAATTTACAAATAAATTGATTTCAATAATTTATACCTAATCTGTAGCTTTTATTTGATTTTTTGACTAGTTGTTTAAAAAAAGAACCAACAAATATGTCATTCCAACAAGTTGACTTTGCGCAATACTGGAATACATTACAAGAAACTGTTAAGAATATTTTATCATTAAACACAGTTACTATGGAAGCATGGAATAAAAGTTTCAATGATGTTTTCATTTTATCTATATCCTACCCATCTTCTAACAGTAAAAAACTTTATGAATCAACTAAGTTGTTGCTAGAGGAACATGTGCTTGAATTATTACACATTGTTCAAACTGAAAATGGTTGGAATCTGTTACAAATGTATTATATGTATTGGCAGCAGTATAGTCAATGTATCAAACACCTAAATTCATTATACCGGTATGTATTTTGTTATCCAACAATACAAATTAAAGTATATATGACGTATAAATGCATTTATAGGTACTTCAATACGCATAATATGCAGCGACATGGGTGGAATGGAAATGAGTTAATGTATAGGAACATAGGATTGACTGATACGATTTATATGGAGATCAAAGAACTGGGACTTGATGTATGGAAGTGTAATATGATTTTACCACTGAAAGACAGTATTTCCAAATTAATATTAGTTGAGATTGATAAAAAAAAACATAGAATTTCTAAAACAACATCTTTGAATACCATTACTGGTGTTATTAACTCATTTATTGAAGTCCAGAAGTCCGGGAGAAATCAACTAGAAGTAATTATTTATATTTTTTTGTCAAAATAGGAGAAACATTCTTAAAGTATAATTCAAATCAAAACAATTTTTATTTAGTTGTATCAAAGTTATTTAGAGCAACCATTTTTGGAACAAAGTAAAAAACACATTAAACTTGAAGCTGCAAGATTGCTACAAGAATTTACGGTGTCGGAGTATTTAGTTAAAGTATTGCAATACATGAAAGATGAAGATTTTAGATCAAAGAGATATCTTCCTGATAGGTAAGAGTTTAATATATTGAAGCTACAATGATACAAATAATAATTAATATTTTATTCCAGTACTTATAACACAATACAATTAATGTGTTATCAACATTTTGTTATTGATCATTTTAATTTGATACGAGAGGATTCAGTAGCAATCATAAAGGAAGAACAATTTTATGACATGAGAAACATTTATGTACTTTTAAACAAGGCTAATTATGGATTGAACGAAATAGCTGATATTTTTAGACAACACTTAGAACAAGATGGAATGACAGTTATTGAATCTCTAAAACAAAAACAAGTATGAATTGAACAAACATTTTTAAGTAAAAATTACAATAAATAACATATATCATTTTTGACGTATGTATAGGTTTATCTGCATTTTATTGAGGCACTAATAGATTTTCATAAAAAAAACGAATCCATAGTTCTAGATGTGTTTAATAATAATATTTTATTCATTGAAGCTCTTAATAAAGCATTTACAACAATTGTTAACTATCAAATAGTAGAAAATCAACGATCAAAGTCCCCAGAATATTTATCAAATTACTGTGATATGTTATTAAAAAAGTCGTATAAAAGCATAAATGAGGTTGAATTTGAAAACAAACTATTACACTGTATTGCAATATTTAAGTGTTTAAATGATAAAGATATATTTAAAAATATGTATCAAAAGCAGCTGGCTATTCGATTAATGCTTCAACAAAGCCAGTCTACTGACGTAGAAAAAAGAATGATTATCAAATTACAAGTAAATTAATCAAATGTTTTTAAATATTTATATGATGTTAATTAAGAGTTTGATTTTTTAGGAAGTTAATGGTTACAAGTTTACAAGTAATTTACATAAAATGTTAATTGATATTAGAGTATCAAAAGGATTAAATGCACAATTTCATAATGAATTCCTTGAAGCAGCTAGCGATAAATTAAATGTCTCTTTTTCTACGTATGTGTTAAGAAGTGATGTTTGGCCTTTGAATTCATCTACTACATCATTTGTTTTACCTAAACAACTAATATCTTGTACACAACATGTAAATATTTAAATATATATAGTTGATTAATAATATCTGTTAACACAGCCTTATTTATTTTTATCAGTTTGAAGTATTCTACAAAGAAAAATTTAATGGAAAGACGTTAACATGGATTCACCACATGTCTCGAGGTATGGTTACATATTTTGTTAAATCATTATAACACTATTATAGTTTATTGGAAATCATTTGTTTATTGTATCAATAGGCCAATTAATATTAAATTATTTACAAAAAACATATACTGTTAAACTAAATACATTACAAATGTCAATATTGTTACTATTTGAAGACTATGATACATTGAAATATTCTGATGTTTATGATTTACTTCAAATAAACAACAATGAACTTAGACAACACATTGATAGCTTAGTCAATTGTAAATTATTATTGCTCGATGATGATGTAAGTAAACTGATTATAATTTTTATTATTTCTAACACTATTAATAATTTATCTATTTATTATTTTAAGATTATTAAATTGAACATGGTATTTTCCAATAAACATACAACATTCCATGTAAATTTAAATATCCAAAAAGATACACAACAAGAGATTGAACAGAATGTTAAAACCACCAAAGATGATCATAAACTACAGTTACAGGCCACTATTATCCGAATAATGAAAGTGCGTAACACATTGAGACATAAACTACTTGTGAATGAGGTAAGCTAAAGTTGATTATTGTTATTTAATTTAACTATAACATGAATGGTGGAATGTAAAATATGTCAAAGTGTGTAATGCAGTACTATTCACCACTTATCGAATTCGAATAAAAATAATAATGAAAATAAATTTGTTTATTTGGAATCAGATTGACGTGAAATGAATTTATGTATAAAAATTAGATTTCTATCTTAAATATATAGAAAGAAGCATTATCACATAAAAAAAAAAATATGAAGTTTGAATATAATTATTTTAACATGATTTTTAATCATTATAAAACAACAGTTTTGAAAAATAAAGTTTGCTAGTTTTGTCGTTATCAATTCTCATGATTATTTTTAAATAAATGACAACATATATTTGAAATTCTTACATTTTTATGTATTTCAATTTCATGAATAAATATATAATATAATGAATATTTAATAATATATGTATAGGAAGCTAAATTTAATTTATTTATTACAATGCATAATATATGTTTTTCTTTTTATTCATTATTGGATTCATCGAAATATTGATTCATTCAGTTAATAAAGATACTCAAATTTTCTAGTTACAAAATGAATCCAATAAACGGGAATCACTATGTATTATTTTATATTATGTTAATGTTAAGCGTTATATTTCAGATATTTTCCCAGTCAAATTTATTTTTTCCCACAAACGCACTAATAAAAATATCTATTGAAGAACTCATTGATAAAGGATATCTTGAACGCAATGAAAATGTTAATGATGAGTACAATTATGTTGCATAACATTTTTAAAACACATTTTTACATTATATTAACTTTATTTTTAAATTATTGTTATTTTTTATTTGTTTTTTTTTTAAACGGTTTTTTTTTTATTAATTAAATATTTTTATAACTTTTTTTATATTCTTTTGAACCCTTAAGTATTGATTGTAATCAATTAATATTTTTATATGACAAAAATATAATTGTATTTCATGTTATTTTTTATCATAAAGTATTGGTTTGTATTGTTACCAAATTTCTGTTAAAAATGAAAATATTACTTTTGAACCATTGTATTACAATTTATGATTGAAACCATAATGCTAAGAACCGCCGTTAAAACGTAAGTCAGTTAAGTCTTAACATTTCGGTAATAAAGGATCATTAAACTGCATGCTATGTTTTAAAATATACATCTATTTTAGAAGCATAAAGTAAAAATTATATTTTATTATATATTGAAATACACAAAGCTGAGCATTAACTAGTTAAAAAGTTAATTTTTTTTAACTTTTTAACTTCACTAGTTAGTTTATTTTCTAATCAATTTACTAACTTAAGAAGTTTCATTGACAGTTGAAATAACTTAGCTTTTTGCAATTGATATAAGAATTTTTTTAATACAAATATGAATTATTAATTGTATTGTTTTAATGTTTATGGCCTTCAATTGCTATATTATCTAAAAAAATAATAATATTTGTTAAATTATTAATTTGAGATGAGTATAGTTTAAATTAATGAATAATATACCTATCATTTAATGTAAAAAGGTATTAACATTTTACACTGTACAATGTAGAATGTACATTGTACATAATGCCAATGGAGTAGGTACAATGAATTTGTATAGTCCATATTACAAAAATGAATCAATTGAATTTATAAACTAAAAAACTTCTGTTTTAGTTTTTTAAGTTACTTAACATTTAAAATATCAAATAAATAGTTTTAATAGAACTTCTTTCACATCTAAGTTGAAAAACTAATATTTGAATTAAAGGTATAAAAACAATAATTTTGAAGAATTTTTAACTATAAAATAATTTACTAATTTTATAATTTTTTTTTGAATTTTGTTAAATTCCTAGGTTTAAGCACTTATTAAATGGTCTTATAAATGAGTGTTTTCTTTATCAAAAAATACTGTTTTTAATTCATACAATACATATTGACAATTACCACAATTTTCCTTCTAAAAAAATATTCGGAATTTTTAAAATATGTAAAAATCTAACTTAATCTAATTTTGGTTTTTATATTATTTGTTCTTATACTAAACTGTATACTTACATAGCATTATCTATATTTTTCATGTCTTTAAAACTATTCACTTCATATAGTTTATTCCACATACATATTGAATTTTTTTTTAAATTGTACCTATATGGTTGCTTACTAAAAAAAAAACTTTATTCATTACAAATAAAATGAATGAAAAAAATAACGAGGAATGGTGTATGCGAGCAGTGTTACTGGTGGCTTGGTCGTGGTTGGTGTTTGACCGCCGCCGACGTCTGGTTACGACATGACATGGAGTGCGAAGAGACGTCGTAAAGTGAAAAAATACAAAATGTTCATTTCATGAAACAATATTAAAATGATGCTCAATCAGCTAATATAATTTTTATTTATTTGTGATCTAAAGCATGAACTTTCAAATAACATAAAAAGGAGTCACCAAACTTATCTTGGAATATGTGTTTGTTCATCCGAGTTGTAGAAATATTGACTGTTGCTGTTTTCAAGGCTACAACCACTTGATTAGACCGTATTACACTATGTTTCCTATTGAGTTGAATGCAACTCTAAGAGTAATGACTCTGCCTTCACACAAGCACCGCCACCAGTGCGGCGAACTAATGGAAAAATCTGCTCCAGGAAAACTATTTAATTTGCTATAAAATTTGTTTTGGGTATGTTTACTTTGAAGCCTTATTAAAATTTTTTTCTTTTAAATTAGTAACTTCTTAATAAAATAACTCAAATTTAGTACTAATTGAAAATGATAAATTAATTTTAATTGTATGCCAAAAGGGCTCTTATTGGACAGTTAGCCCCAATGACACGTACACATAGATTGATTAATAATAAATATAAAATAATAAAATGAAAAACACGCCAACTTGTATGCTGTACCTATAAAATGCTAAAGGCACCACCATAATACTAAAAACAATATATATAAATAAAATAATAAATAATAATATTAGCAAAAACTTATCGATCTTTTATGATAGGTAGTGTAACGAAATTCAAATCTTCAATGTTTAGTTTGATATAATGTTAACTTTTATTTTTATTATAGTTTTTTTTTTTACATATATTAATTTATATCACAATATTTTCTTTTCTTTCCTGACTTATTATCAGTTTAATACAATGAAAAAGGGATTATAACAGTTTTATGGGTTGGAACTACTTTTTAGTGTCTTTGGCGCTGCCTCTCGAAGTCCTCCTTGCGTCCTAGAATGTCTTACACCATGCGGCAAAAAAGCAGGAAATTTCTGCAGGCCGCGTCCATCACTCTGTCCCGGCGATGTTGGTCTCTGGGCAGTTCCTCCGTGGATGGCATGCACAGAATATCCTCAACGTCCTCCGGAACCGGGTTTCTGCCGATTGAAAGTGAGAGTTGATGTCTGCTGTCTCCCAATAAAGACAGTCGAAGATCGTGTGCTTGGTATCATCCACTGGGACTGAGCAATGCATGCACTTGGGACTGTGCGCCCTTTTTTTTAATACAGATATTTCTGGAAGCAGTCGTAGGCCGCAAGTGCCTGACACATATGGTATGTCACGGACTTTGTGCCGTAGTGCCACCATCTGCTCATGTCAGGGATCAGGGTTTTGGTCCATGATGCTTTAGGGGTAGCGCCCCACATCGTCTGCCATTTACGAATGACCTCCATCCTTAGTTCGGCCTTTGTGCGTGGCTTTCCGATCTTCTTGGCCACTGCGGCACTCTTCCGCTCGGCAGCCAGGAGCGGGGCAGGTGGCATTTGTGCCAAGAGCATCGTCGCTATGTCTGACACCGACTTATAGCATCTGGCTACCCGCAGGGCGGCAGTCCTCTGTGCCTGCATCAAAGCTTCCTTAGGCTTTTGGACTCCTTGTATGCTGTCCGACCACACTTGGGTACTGTAGAAGTCTGCTATGCACCACGCTCATCAACAGCTGCCGCTTTGACTGCGATGGACCACTGACATTTGGCATTAGCCTGCTGAGAGCCGTCGTTGCTCTCTTCGCTCCTGCTGATATCGTTCTCGCGCGGTCTATGAATGACAGTCTAGTGTCCAAGTGTACGTTGAGGTAACGCACAGTGCACTTGACCGGAATGGCCAGGATCGCTGAGGGACGGAAGGAATGCTTGTTAATCAGCACCACACACTCCGACTTCTCCGAGGCCAAGGGCAAGCCGTTGACGGACAACTAGTTACTGACTGCCGTCAGAAAAATAACAGATTTTATTTATGAATATTTAAACGGGAGACTAACTGATATGTGTAAGAAACAAGTAGGTGAAGAGGAATTAGGGTTAAAATATAGTAATAATAATAGTTGTTAATATAAAAAATAAATTGTCAAGATAAAAATGTACACACACACACACATGTCATTCCGGACAGGTGCTCAATATAAATGTCTCTGGATTACCTCTTGATGAGGAAATTGTGCATGAGCGGTACAATTTCCTCATCAAGGTGGCGTATGACCGGCTACAAAGCACCTTATGAAAGTGTCGTTACCTGGGGGGTCCATGAATCCAGGGCACCAATAATGAATGGTGCAACTGCCACCTCATAGTTGTACTGAGCTGCCAACTTTGTCCTTAGGTCCTCATATTTGGTTTTCTTCTCCGCGGCTGCCGTTTTAAATACCGCTAATCGGTTGTCGAAAGGCACAGTGACGTCAACCACGTAAATGTTTGGGCTCTTCTTCAGAATCAAATCCGGTCTCAGACCCTGGTTACCCAGGACCTGATTTTCGGAGAGGACCTCAAATCTTGTGGATGCTGCTTTCTTGATTCTGGCGACTATGGCATTATGCCTCGCCATGTAAAGCGTGGTGTAACGCATAGTGATCGACGACGTGGGCTAGGCTTTCATTTGTATACCCACACCGTCTACACCTGCGATCACCGGCTCTTCACGACGAGGAGCCATTCAATGGAACGAGGTTCAGCCTTGCCCGATGGACGAAACGCTCCCTCCAGAACCCATTTAATTACTCATAACAATATTTTATAAATCGTTACCTTCATTTTCTCCATCATCACCATCAGAACTATAATTATATTCTGATTCATCATCAAATTCTTCATCAGACTATATCCATTTATCGTTTTCCAAAATATCAAGTAGCTCAGCATTCCATAATATGTGTGTTTTCATACTTTTTTTGATGGGACTTCGAGAGCGATCAACTCTTGATGGACCAGCAGAAAGGTGTCCATGTTATTATAATATAAAATAAATTGATACTAAATTATAGAATACGTATTATAAAATGAATAATATGTCTAGAAAAACAACAATTTGCAAATCGCAAGATTACTGTAGTTGTTTTCAATAAAACTTAACGAAAATATACGGGAAACACAAACCAACTACAATGCATAGTTAATTAATACTTTCTGAATAGCCATGATAAATATTGAAGCAGTATCTCTATGGCCGAATTATTTATAAACATCCCACTGTGCAAAAAGTTGTAATATTTGTTTTATAAACGTTTGAAGTTTACTTAAAATGTTAAAAATTATAGTATAAATTACGTAAATTTTACATAATAAGAACTGCGAATGTCCGCGAAAATTGACTTGCTAATTATGTTATATTTATATAAATATAACAAAATAGTAAATGTCAATTTTATGTTAAAATTCTGTTTCATCAAACATAAATTTGATGTTAAAATTATGTTTCATTAAACATTATATGAACACACAAAAAACATTAATAAAACTGCTTATTAATATTCGAAACAAGGTTTAAAATACTTGAATATAACATAAGTAATTAATATTTATTTTATATAAATAAGATACACGGTGTTTCAAAAGTCTTCATCCGATTACGAACTGATATATTTCGGCAACGGTTAATCACAGGTTAATGGCTAATGTATTAATGGAAAGATTAGCTAACTAAGTTCATTATAAGTTATCTAGTTGATAAATTTGGCACCGTAATGGTTAGTGAACTAGGAATCATTAGTTTGTTTCGTTATGGCGACTTCGCAACAGAAAGCATTTTGCGTCCTACGTTTCAATAAGTGTGAGTCGGCGATAACCGTTCAACGTGATTTTCGAAGAATTTATGGAACTGAAGCTCCTATTGCTCAAAGCATTCGACGTTGGCACCAAACTTTCCAAGAAAGTGGTTGACTGTGTGCACAGAAATGCTCAGGTCGACCTCGTACCTCTGACGAAAACATCGAGCGAGTTCGACAAAGTTTCGTTCGAAGTCCACAGAAGTCTACACGTCGTGAAGGCCTAGAGCTAGATCTCCCACATTTGACCGTTTGACGTGTTCTACGACGTCGTTTGACATTGAAGGCATACCGAATACAACTGTTACAAGCCCTCCTACCGGATGACAAACAAAAAAGGATTGATTTTTGCAATTTCATATCCGAAAAACAAGAAAAAAATGAGTCATTTGTCTCACGCATTGTTTTTTTGGACGAAGCCACATTTCATCTAAGTGGAAAAGTCAACCGCCATAACGTCAGGATTTGAGCTTTAGAGCAACCACACGCAACTGCTGAGCATCAAAGAGATTCACCAAAAATCAATGTTTTCTGTGCAATTTCCCGGAAAAAAGTTTACGGTCCATTTTTTTTTTTTTTTTTTTTGAAAAAACAGTAACGGATGACACATATCTAAACATGTTGCAAACATGGTTGTTTCCATAGTTACAAGTGGATAGTGATGAGTTTGTTTTTCAACAAGATGGAGCACCGCCGCACTGGAAGTTAGAAGTTCACCGGTATTTGAATGGTGAACTTCCTCAGCGGTGGATTGGGCGTAAAGTAAACGACCATTTGGCGATTCATCCCTGGCCACCACGTTCCCCTGACCTCACAGTGTGATTTTTTTTTATGGGGCTACATAAAAGATAAAGTGTATGTACCACCATTACCTACAAACTTGGAAGAGCTTAAAATCAGAATCAAAGATGCTGTTAATGCCGTTGACACCAGATATGATCAGCAACGTTTGGGAAGAATTAGATTACCGTGTATAGATGTGTGTCGGGTGGCCGGTGGGGGTCATATTAAACATTTGTAACCAAAGTAAATAAAACTTGACTATTTTAAGAATATATTTTTTTTTTATTTCACCCTTATATCTTCATTTTTAATTTAAATATGAATTTTTGAAATCGGATGTACTTCATATACTTACCATATTGCTCTAAAAAAGTAGGAAGGTAATTTAAAAATTAACAAGACAATTAAGTATAGCTATAATTCATTCAAATATATTATGTTACTATACACAAATAAATAATATTATATTATGGTTTGAATGACATTAGTAAATAAATATAATAATGTCAATAATACAATGCTTAAAATATTTCGTGGCACAACTGCCTTACAATTTGACACTTGAACGAAAAAAGACTTATACTTTAAATCAATCTCATGTATTAAGTATAAATCACATAAATCATTAGTATTCACTATATAAATTCCAACTATATGAGATGGAATTGGCTTATCACTAAATTCTGTGACATTCATACATTTTTTTACCATTAACTGAATTGGTTTGTTCTCAGGCTTTATAATGTATTGTACAGTAACTAATGAATAATCTTGACATAGAAAATACTTATCTTTTTCATTTGTCATATTTAAAATAGTTTTTGAAAAATTTAAAATACATTTTGAATATAATTTATTTGAGATACTCATAAACAGTAAATGGCTTTAATAATTAATTTCATTGGAGAAGATAGGATAATTTGAAATTACATTTAATTGAGAGGTTAATAATATTGTTGTTTTTCTGTTATTCTATTATAAACTTCTTGCAGGGGATATTTTTCTGATTTCAGAGATTTTTTCATGTACTGTAAGTAGTTTTCATATCTAAATGAGCTAAAGTTGTCGAGTGATCCATGCAATAATGTAAACATGGGTAAATGGATTAAACTAGAACATTATAACTAACATAATGATGACCATATAATGAACCATAGTCATGTACACATCGTTTTAATAACTCAGATGCTTTTCAGTTATATTAATTATGGCAAGTCTCTGAGGATATTAAAATTTTTGTGGCAAATACTAGTAACAAAAAGTGTTTGTAAAATTCAGGCTTCAGCTTACCTTTTAGAACTATTACTCCTGAATACAAAACAAAACTACGTTACTCGGTAGCCTTCCAAAAGTCTACATCATCTAAAGGTCTTGGCAAACGACAAAATTCTGATGGCACATAGGATCTTAATATTTTTAATTCGTTATTAACCCTTTCAGTGCCGCACACATATTTTAACCATTACCTTCCAGGACCGACTAAAATCAAAATGTTCAAAAATTAAAATTTAAACTATCAAAATAAACCTAATTTTATCCTGAATATTAAGTTCTATTTTTTTTTTTACAATTTTTTTTTTACAATTTTTTTATACTAAGATATTTAAAATTTTTGAAACTACATACATTGCAGGTGTCCAAAATGTTCAACGATTAACAGTATTTATAAAAAATAACTAAATAGTGAAATATATTCGTATAAAACAATTGAAATAAACATATTTATATAATCAATCACATCTTTTATTAATTATTCTATTTTATGTATTATAAAACATTAAATTATAAAAAAAAAAACACATGAAATAAAAAAAAAATATAAAAATAAAAAAAATAATAGGTATAATAATGTCATTAATATGTTTGTTTTGTGTGATATATAAAAAAACATGGTGTGGCACATGACCCTTTGTCACAATTTTTACACACGTAGGTGGTATTGGTTCTTTTTTTGTTTGCAAAACATACTGTACATCTTTTCCTTCCAATATTTCCTGTTCCAGTGCTAGGAATATCTGATAGGAAGTGT